ATGATAGGTTCTGAGACAGTTTGATCAAACACCCTGCCACCACCTTTAGCGAGGTGAATGATAGGTCTCTAAAATTTATAACTGCTGAAGAATATGCCTTATCGCAGAACCCAACTCCCTCTAAGAACCAAAACTCAAACTGGAGAGATGAGAATCCGAGCAGGAAATGGATGAGGATAACACAAAACCGAGGTCTGGTGTTGACCTCCACACCGAGATTTGGAAGGTCGAACTCTACATCCCCACAACAATCTGCAGGTAAACCTCAAGTTAATTGGACTCCTTTTAATTTGCCGAGGTCATAGATTTTCATGCAGATCAAGAATAAGATGGATTTAAGGCGTCCTGGCCCAATGAGAACTGCTGCTGCTAGCCGAGATCATACCAGATATTGTGATTTTCATCAAGATCACGGTCATACAACAGAGCAATGCAATAGCTTAACGTCCGAACTGGAAAGTCTAGCTCAGAAGGGAATGTTGAATGAGTACATTCAGAGAGCTGAACAGCCGAGGTTTGTCAGAGAACAGAGGCCACAGCCTCAAAGAGTCCGCAATCCACCAAACAAGCAAGGTGTGGGATATTAGCAAGCCCCATTGCCACTCCCACCACCAGCTAGAATCATACACATGATTACGGGAGGCTTGGAAGCAGGTGGATTGAGCTCTAAACAGCGAAAATTGTATGTCAGAGAGGTTAAGCATCAAAACCGAGCTCAGAAACGAAAGTTTGATGACACTGACTGGAAGAATCAACCCATTACTTTCACATCTGCTGATTTTGACACAATTGTTACACCCCACAATGACCCTTTGGTCACTTTTGTCATGATTAACAACTGTGAAGTACAACGTGTCCTTGTTGACACCGGGAGTGCACCAGACATCATGTACTTCCACTATTTTGAGAGTCTTGGATTGGATCCAGCATTGTTGCAAAGATATGATGGTCTCATTTATGGTTTCAACAACCAGCCTATTTAGGTAGAAGGAGTTCTTACCCTCCATGTTGCTTTCGGGAGTGGCCTCACCTATGTGACTCCTTCAGTTCGGTTCCTAGTAGTCAAGATGGCGTCCTCTTTCAACGTTGTTATTGGCCGACCCACGCTGACTGAAATTCGAGCTGTGGTTTCCCAATCTCACCTCTACATGAAATTCCCAACTCCTATAAGAATAGCAACATTGCGAGGCAACCAGGAGGTGGCTAGACATTACTATATCACCTCGATAACACAACCTAAGAAGGGCAAAGATCAGACACCCGAGGCCAATCCCCAATGGATTCTTGATAATCAACAAGTCATGGGTGTTGAAATACTAGATAACTGACCGGAAGATGAAACCAGAGCTACTCCAGGTGAAGATGTTGAAGAAGTGCTCATTGATGATAGAGATCCGAGCTGAAAGACGCAAATTGGAACTAGATTAAACCCGGAAGAAAGAGCAGAGCTAATAGCTTTCCTCCGAGCTAACAATGATGTCTTCGCCTGGACTTCAGTAGACATGCCAGGAATTCCAAATTCAGTATCTCAACATAAGCTCAGCACCAATCCATTGAAGAAATCGGTGGCCCAGAAGCGACGTCTCTTCGGGGGGAAGAGGCTTCAGGCTATAAAAGAAGAGGTAGAGAAACTTCTACAAGCTGGTTTCGTCAAAAAAGTTGATTACTGCAAATGGGTGGCTAACCTAGTCCTAGTGAATAAGGCAAACGATAAATGGCGAATGTGCATCGATTACACAAATCTTAACCAAGCTTGCCCCAAGGATTGCTATCCGATGCCGAGCATTGACAAATTGGTTGAAGCGGCTCCTAGCAATGAGAGATTAAGTCTCTTGGATGCATATTTCGGGTATCACCAAGTGCCAATGGCTCTAGAAGACGAAGAGAAAACCTCATTCTATGCTGGCGATGAAATTTATTGCTATGTCATGATGCCATTTGGCTTAAAGAATGCAGGTGCTACTTATCAGAAAATGGTGACCATCGTCTTCCGAGCTCAGATCGGCAGGAATCTGGAAGTTTATGTCGATGACATTGTGGTAAAGAGCTTGAAAGCAGAAGACCACCTAGCTGATCTCGACGAAACTTTCAACAACCTCAGAAAGAACAAAATGCGGTTAAACCCAGCCAAATGCATCTTCGGCGCGGAGTTTGGAAAGTTTCTAGGTTTCATGGTGTCCCGAAGAGGGATTGAGGTCAATCCAGAGAAGATCAGAGTAATTGCCAAGATGGAACTGTCGAAATCAGTGAAAGATATACAGAGGTTGACTAGAAGGGTGGCAGCTTTTCATCGGTTCATATTGAAGTCAACAGATAAGTGCCTACCATTTTTCAAGATTATGAGGTCAGCCGCCTAGAAGGATAAATCAGGAAAACAAAAGAAATTTGAATGGAACTAGGAATGCCAAGCCGCATTCGACGAGCTAAAGTCTTATCTTAGCTCGCTACCTCTACTGACTAAGGCCGTAGATGGAGAGATTCTCTATTTGTATCTGGGAATTTCAGATGAAGCCATTAGTTCGGTTCTGGTGAGAGAAGAAGCCAAGTAGCAGAAACCAATCTATTATATTAGCAGTGTGCTGCACGGAGCAGAGCTGAGGTATCCTATATCTGAAAAAGCAGTTTTAGCAGTTGTTACTTCGGCCAGGAAGTTGAGGCCATATTTCCAATCACACCCAATCATTGTCCTTACAGACCAACCTCTTCAACAGATTCTACAAAAGCTAGAGTGCTTTGGGAGATTAATTAAGTGGGCAGTAGAACTAGGGGAGTTCGAATAACATTTCAGCAGAGATCTGCAATCCGAGCTTAAGCACTGACAGATTTTATTGTAGAATGCACTCCAGGTCATTCAACCCCTAATCTAGAACCCAACGACTGGACCTTATATGTTGATGGGGCATCTAGTAGCAAGGGTTCAGGAGCTGGTGCTCTCTTGATTGGCCGAGATGGATATCGAAGTGAACATGCCTTGAAATTTAACTTCAATGCAACAAACAACATGGCTGAGTATGAATCTCTACTGCTTGGTCTACAGCTAGCATTGGAGTTGAAAATCAGCGCGATCCAAGTATATAGTGACTCCCAGCTGGTGGTGAACCAAATCAACTCAATCTGCGAAGTCATTGATCTTGTGATGGTGAAATATGTAGCTCTGGTGGTTGAGCTGAAGTGCAAATTCCAAAAATTCTGTCTGAGAAAAATTCCCCAAATTGAGAATGAACAAGCAGATTCACTCTCAAATTTGCCTCTGATAGCTCTTTAAGTTCCAGATCAGTTTTTGTGAAGGTCTTAGATGAACCAAGCTTCATGAAGCCACGGATGATGGAGATCAGCACAGACCCTGACACGTCGAGTTGGACTGACTCAATTATCTCCTTTTTACGAGATGGGATAGTACCTGAGGACAGGTAGGAGGCAATGAAGTTGAGGAAGAAAACATCTCGGTATACACTCATTAATGGGGTCCTCCATAAGAGATCATTCTCACTCCCTCTTCTACGATGCTTAAATCCTTACGAAGCTGAGTATGCACTTTGGGAGGTACATGAAGGTGTTTGTGGGAGTCACATTGGTGCTAGAACTCTGGCCCACAAAGTCTTAAGACAGGGATACTATTGGCCAAACATGTATAAAGATGCCACTCACTTTGTTCAGAGATGTTCGAAGTGCCAATTCTTTGCACACCTGACTCACCAACCAGTAGAAGAGCTCACGAACTTGGTAGCACCATGGCCATTTGCTCAGTGGGGACTGGATTTTTTGGGCCCATTTGTGAAAGGGGTTGGTGGTGTAACCCATCTGATTGTTGGTGTAGATTATATCACAAAATGGGTTGAAGCTTGGCCATTATCCAATCTTACCTCCAAGAAGGTCAAAGACTTTCTTTTTAGTTTGATCATCTGCAGATATGGGATCCCGAATCAGATTGTGGCTAATAATGGAACTCAATTCAACTGCACCTTTTTCCGAGATTTTTGTTCCAGCTACGGGATCAAATTACAGTTCACTTCAGTTTACCATCCGGAGTCCAACGGTATGGTAGAATCTGTTAATAAATGCATTCTAGAAGGAATAAAGCTGAGGTTGGAACAACACAAGGCCAAGTGGGCAAACGAGCTCAACAACATCCTCTGGGCATACAAAACAATGAGCCGAACTGCCACAGGTACTATTTCTAACCCAAGTTCCTTTCACTCTATTTTCATTCTATCTCACTCCCTCACCTGAAATTCTACCCTAGATCAAATATGCATAATATGTAAAGCATATTATAAAGCATATAATTTCATGAAATAGGTGAAACACCCTACCACTTGGCCTTTGGTACCGAAGCAGTCATTCCTATTGAAATAAGAGTCCCAAGCTTCCAGGTCACCCATTTCGATGAAGGATGAAATGGACAACTGCTTTGGGAAAATCTTGATCTGCTTGCTGAAGTCAGAAAAGAAGCATGACTTCGAACTCTTGTATACAAGCATAAACTAGCCAACTTCTATAATAAACGAGTTCACCCTCGAACTTTCAAAGTAGGAGATCTTGTTCTCAGAAAAGCTAGCCTAACAGGGTTTGAAACTCGTTTTGGCAAACTGGCCGCAAATTGGGAAGACCCTTATACTATGGCCGAGGTGCCACATCCTGGTGCTTATGTCCTCCAAGACGCTAAAGGAAAGAGAGTTCTTAGTGTCTGGAATGTTAACAACTTGAAGAAATTTTACCCTTAATAAAATTCTTTCAAGTGACCTATGTCCTCCTACTTTTTATACTTATTACTTCGCAATTGTTAAGATTCATTTTACCTCTTATTCTGTATATCCGAAGTCAATCTGTTTAAAACTCATTCCTTGAATGTCACTCATATTAATGAATGTCAATTCACACATGAAGTGCTTTATTTCCTTTTAATTCATCTGAAGTGATTTACTTCATCTTAATTCGTGTGAAGTGGTTACTTCTCTTTAGTTCATTTCTGAAGTGCTTAACTTCGTTTTAATTCATCTTTGAAATGATTAACTTTCTTTCAAATCACATCTCAAGTAATCTCAGTTCTTCTATCAATATAAAATAACAAAAATGTAAAGCAAACACAACATATGATTTCAAAACTGAATTTTCATTCAAAGTAAAAACTTTTACAACAGATTGTTTTACTGTTGTTACAATAAAAACATTAAAGAAAAAATAACAAACAAAAATTATTTCTCTGTTGGAGGAGGTGGCTCAACTGGCTCATACTCAGCTGGAAGAGGTGGCTGTGTTGGCTGCTGCTCATCTGGCAAAGGAGGTTACTCATTGTCAGAAGGAACTGGATGAATCTCCACTTCTGGAACTGTTGGCTCTCATCCACTTCAGCTCCTTCCACTCTTGCCTCCACTTCGTCTTCCTCTACCTCTGCCCCTTCTTCCTCCACTGCAAGGAACTTGAAGTCGAACTTTGGAGGGAAAACAGTGCGTCCGTCTACATCATGATCCCACCTCAGTTTGATCTGAGGACGGAAGTCTGCTAACATGCTCTCACCATTCTCCTCCACTCTTTCTTCTTGCTCGCCGAAGGTGATCTTTGTAATATCCACTTAGGGATATTCAGCCTTCACCTTCTTTCTGCAGTCCGTGAAAGCAATGATGGTAGTTGGCAGCCGGTATAAGTTGACGATGTTGTCAAACGAGTTGGAGCTGATGAAGTTGTTGATGTGCTCTTTCATCCCATTGTGCACCAACATCTGCACATTCTCCTTCAGCTCCATGAAAGCATCATTCATCAATGTTATTTCCTTCGCCTGAGCCTCACACTCGCTTTCAGAGATCCTTCGTTTGCTCTCCTTAAAGACGAGCTTGGTGCTTAGGGAAGCCCTCTCCTGCTCCAACTATTTCACAACTGGAACCACCTCGTCCAGCGCCTCTTGCAGTTCCTTATTCTTCTTCTCCAGCTCCTCATTCTCTTTCTGCAGTTGGTCACACTGCCTTTGCAAGAGGGAGTGCTCCTTCACACTATCCATGAACTCCTAGGCTAGACCATTCACCCAGCTCGCACTCTGCAATTCAACGTAGAAGTTAAAAGAGAAAGAAGAGAAGAAAAAGGAGATTAAACAAACAAACAACACCAATAAGTACAAATAACTTAACATACCTCTAAAACGTGCTTCACCACCGAAGCCGCACAGTACCTCAGAGCCTTGTCCCGTGCGTGACGCTTGTCCACTTCGGGGAAGGTGGAGTTGATAAACCTCCTAGCCCCCATCATGTTCTTCACCTCGAACAAGCTGCTCTGAAATGACAACGGGGGAACAAGGCCCTTTCCCTTGCCAGGAGCTCGTACCTCAGCCCCCTCCTCAGATTCCCTAAGCTCAGGGTCGAGTTCAATAGGAGGAGGCCTAGGTATGAACTGGGGAACCTCGATCCCCCTCTCCTCCTCCTCCACCACCTTCTTCTTCTTTTGAAGTGCCCCTCTTTCCTCCCTACTTTTCCTCTTTAACTCCAACCGTGACTCCTCCTCCTCCACGAGCACTACCTCCTTTCCAACTCCTCCCTCATCCACTTGTTTGGTTAAAGTCCTTGACTTCTTCCTTGGCTTCTTGGGGATGGCCGTTCCTCCTGCAGCGCCCAAAAATTTGTTCATTTCAGCTGCAGAACAAGAAACACACAATATCAATCACACAGTTCTATATTCTACATTCAGTACTACAATGCAAATTAAACAAACCTTCACTTAAAGCACTTGGCCTATAGAGCTTAGCAGCTTCTATGCATTCTGCGCTGGTGAGGTCCATGATGTTCAGTAAATCCCCCCTTCCTCACCAACTTCCCCACCTCTTCCTCCTCATCCTCATTTAAACTAAATTTATTCTGGTTGGCTCTTTTAGCCTTCCAGAATGCTAACATCTCTACCTCGACATCCCCCCTTTCCCATTCTATATCATCTACAAAAAAGAATTTTTCCTTCCATCCTTTAATCGATGAAGGACCCGCAGTAAATAAAGCCCTACTCTCCCTATTAGGTACCCTAAGGGTGAAATAATACCACCCCTTATCCTTCCTACTACCCTCCTTTAAAACAAAAAAATACTTAAAACATATTTACAGTTGGCACTTTAATCCCCCGAGCTCGGTAATAAACTAAAAATCCTATTATTATCCTTATAGCGTTGAAGACTAACTGTGTCAACTCTATGTTGTAATCTAAAAGAATACCCATTAGCAGCTCAGGAATTGGAAACCTAAGCCCGGCTATCAAATAGTGGGCATACACGAGCATCCAATGATCCCGAGGAGCAGAACACGTTCTCTCCTCTACCCCAGCTGGCCTAACTAACACTCAGGAAGAGATCTCGTAATTCTCCACTAAGTGACCCAGGCTATCCCTGGTCCCGAGTTTAGATCTGTACTGCTTCACCTCTTCCACTATGTCTGCATCTACATCATAACCTCTCTCTCTCCTACCCTCTACTTCTACCATAGTGATGGGTACACTATCCCCCCCAACCCCCACCATCTCATTCCCCCCAACCCCTACCACCTCATCTCCTTTCATCCCCTCCACCATTTTCTCTGAACTAGATGGAGATGGACTACTCTCCGAGTCCATACTACCATAATCCAGGGGCATCACCTCACTCCCTACTACACTTACTGTTTCTTCTGAAGACATTTTCTCAATCTTTGCATGAAGTAGGGGGGAGGAATGAAGTCAGGACCCTTTAAAAAAAAAAAAAAAACCCCCCTCTAATGCACATTCAAAATCATTCTCACTTCTAACCTAAACTTCCTTCAGAGGACTCAAAATCAACCACAGAAAGGGAGAAAGGAGAGTGACACTTTGACTAAACCAAAATCAGAGGTTCGTATACATTACCTGATTTCGGTTTCGAAAGCTTGATGTAGAAATCCCCAAATGATGCAGCAGTTCACACGCAGGAAGCACACAGTAAAGCTTTTTGCATAAATTTTGCAGAAAATGAAATGCAAGTAAACTTCTTTCTGCAAAAAAATAACTATTTATACCTCCGAGCAAAATTAGATCTTTATGGTTGAGATTCGTTTAATCTTTCAGTCCTTATTCATGCCATTTCGAATTCAATTGTATAACCTTAATGAGAACTGTTTGATTTCGACGGTTCGCTTCCTAATTCCGTTTGTCTGACTGTCACAGTTACTTTTTTCATCCCGTATTAATTGTACACGTCTTTTGACAGACAGCTGTCCTGTCACATAATAACCTTACGTCAAACTTTATAAACGGGCCCACTTAAGCCTAACTCAACACTTCTGTTTACTTTCACAATTATATTTTTTTAACTTACAAGTGTTTCACTTCGGCTATGGCCACAATGACTTAGTGTCACATATTTCACTTCGACTCCAGCCACAGAGACACATGCTTTACTTCGGCTCTAGTTACTGTGACTAAATGTCACATACTTTACCTCGGCTCCAGCCTCTATGACTCCAGTCATTATATTTTATTACGGCTCCGGCCTCTATGACTCTGGTCATCATATTTTATTACGGCTCCGGCCTCTATGACTCTGATCATTACTTTTTATTACGGCTTCGGCCCCTATGACTCCGGTCATCATATTTCAGCTATGACTCTAGCCACTATGACTCCGATCATCGTTTCTTATTAGCTTCAGGCCACATATGCATCTGGGTTACAAAATTTAATTCTTATTTTTACTTCTACCCCTGTAACTCATCTTTAATATTTTTATCCCCTTTCCTTTCTATTTATACACTACTCCCATTGTCTCCAACAACATCATTCACAAGTGAATGACTTC